GTTCGGTTGTCAACAGTTCAGAAGACGTGAAATAAAGTGCGCACATCCATAATAAAACGTCCCTCACACGGCTCCGGGGGGTTGAATAAAGGCCTCCTGTTGCGAATCCATACGTTTTTGTAAGATAAATATCCATATTTCAAACGTAATAAAAACTTTTCTCTCACTTCCGGTATTCTGTCATATATGGAGGGCGTGCCGGCGGATGACGTAGCACGTCGGCGTTGCGTGATTAGTGACGAGCGCGGAGAGAGAACAAAGCAAAACGCCGGTCATGAATTAGAAGCACAAAACGAGGATTTGTAAAGAAAAATGTCGGAGGATTTCGATATAAGCCAAGAGGAGACTGGTTTTCCTTTGCTAAAGTAAGGAAACTTTGCTTCCTTTGCTCCTGCATTTCTCAGAGGTGCGCACGACGCATACGTCCTACGTCATCCGTCTGCATATCTTCCGCATACCAGTCAGCGGAAGTGAGAAAAAAGTGTTTATTACGTTTGAAATATGGATATTTATCTTACAAAAACGCATGGATTCGCTACAGGAGGCCCCCGTTGTAAGGCTTGGAGGGGCCAGGACAATTTTTAATATAACTCCGATTGGATTCGTCTGAAAGAAGAAAGTCACATACACCTAGGATGCTTCCAGGGTGAGTAAAACACAGGCTAATTATCATTTTTGGGTGAACTAACCCTTTAATAACACCTGAAGGAATATTTTAATGTGTGCCAAGGCATGCCCAGAATAGCGTCTTTTAGCAGACAGGTTTATCATTACATTTAAAGAATTACGACTTAGAGCAGAAGGAAGTGCAGTACTGACGAAGTATCTGTTCACACATACAGAAGATGTTGCTTTTGGACGCACCATCTTTGCCTTTATTCCTGCGGCGGCGGCACTAGGACCACGCGGGGAGGCGCAGCATCGCGCCTCGGTTATTGGGCTTGCACGACCTCAGTTTTGCACTACACCATTCAACGGAGGGCAAGTATGCTGTCTGATGTGATGAAATAAGGGCCGTTGAAAAGAATCAGTATTTGAAGAAAGACTAGGCGTTAAAAGGATTGTGTATGTTTTTGGCGGACCTGTCACGCACTCCAGCACAAACCTTCACAGTGGAGATGGGAGTAAACCTGGAGACTGGGTTACCCCGTGAACTTCCAGGAGAAGAACCTGTGATTTGGATTTAAACTCGCCTTGGTCAATATTAACGCAGCTTGAAGTTAAGTATCATCCGAAAACGAATTTCTTTTAAACTGTATTATTTCTTCGTCACAGAGAGTGTGCGTAAAGCTGTGGCGCACTGCTGCTCTTTTTGTACGTATTATTAAACTCGTTTTAATTGCGATGCCTCCAAATAAAACTACAATTAATTTAAAGCAGTTTTGCCATTATAAAATGCTCATTTTGTGTAGATTGGAATACCTAGCTGTCTTTTGAGCAAGTGTATTGCAGTTGTTGGTTTGTACAGGCGCAATTGGAAAGTGAGGTAGGTAAACAGAGTTTGTTTTCCTTGAGTTTAACAACAACGCAAGGCGTGGATGGGGTTGGTTGGACATTCATTCAAGATGTGAAAGACAACAAAAAAGACGAGATTGGGGGTTTTAGCACAAAGGGATGCTGTGGGAAACAGGTTGTGTCCAGGGAATTCCCCAGGTGTCACACATGGGTGTCCATGATGAATGGAGCAGATGATAATGTCCCTTTATACTAGGACTACTCAAGCAATTTGTATTAGGGCTATGTCTATTGACTATTACGTGCGTCGTGCATTGATACTTTTTTTTCCCAGACTGTAACTTAAATTTGGCAATCATAAAATGAAAAATGGTTATAATAAAACCACTGCTATTATTAAACAGATTCGAGCCAGCTAAATGTAAAATTCATTTCTTTTTAAAGGCGCAAGGATATGTCTGACACAGTTTTAGAGGATTTTAATCTTTAATCAAACTGTTTCAATCTTAAGGCTACTTCAGACACTATGGGTCATTTCCTTTAGATGTTTGTCTTTTTATTGAGCACTCTGACCAAAACGCACTGCACTTATCTATAGATTACTAACGATGCCACTAAAACTCTTAAAAATGAATGTTCCAAAAGTGAGTTTTCGCAGAGATGCCATAGAAGAACCATTTTGGGTTCTTGAAAGAATCTTTCAGTAAAGTTCTTAAAAGATTTTTTTTTCATAAGGCTTAAGTATTCTATACAAGTTTTGCCCACATTTTTACCACAATGTAAATGTACTTTCGATGCTAGTTATCGAAAGTTAAAACCAGCCTGCAAACTTGTGTTGACAGATTTCACTTCGAATTTTAGCTTCAGGCTGTGATTCTATGCATTCGGAGGATATCTGAACATGTTTGATATTTTAAGTAAATTTGAGAACTTTTAGATGCTTTTATCCAAAATCACAAGCTGTAAAGTAGGTACTACATTTAGTTAACTTACTTCAGAACCATTGAAAAGTACATTCTATATGGTATGAATGAAATTTGAACGTACTACATCCGTCATGTTGTGACTGTCACATGACCTACCAGCATTAGTTGCGTTGCTTCACCGTTATTCACAACTCCTCTTGTGTGGCTTCAAGTGTTCACTGAATTCACACTCCAGAGACTCTGTAGAAGTGCTGTTTTTCTAATACTACTCTTAGTAAACTGTTTGTCACATACTATATAGTATGGAAGTATTGGGACACAGTGAATGATTTGTCGTGTCATGTGTCTAGAAACAAGGTGTAAATTTGTTGTGTTCAGAAAAACTTTCTCTAGTGCTTTTCTAACCATTTGCAAAGACAAAAATGTATTATGCCTAGTGTTTGAAAATTGTGTCGTGAAGTGTATTCCAGCCTTTAGTGTGCAAAATGTTAATAATGTGAAGAACCTTTTCCCACTATATATAGAACCTTTTGTTAAAGGGGTCATATGATGCGATTTCAATTCTCACGCTAGGCCGCTGTGTTTTTCGTTGCCACTGATGATTCAAACGCGAGTTTTGGGCAGTAGAGTAGCACTTGTTGTTTGTCATTTCTCCGATCACAAATGTTCTGTATGGAACCATAAAAGAACCTATTTTTAAGAGTGAAGGCTCAGCATTACATTTCTTTAGCCTTATATCTGCAAAATGGAGGATCTTGAGTTTTATTTCATGCTTGCATATATTTTTGTATTTGCATTTAGGTTGCATAAGCCATGGTGCCTAACCGGAGATTGGGTCTGGCCCATCCTTGCTGTATTGGCCTGCTGTTCCTACTCCTCCTGCCCAGCTCGGTTTCAGTGAGAGAACCTCGCCATCAGTCCCACATCCACCTCCCCTCGCTGATACCTCACGCCACCCTGCCACTGTCTCGTTCCCGCTTCAGCGCCAAAGCTCAGCTGGACCTCACTACCCACTGCAATGAGAGCTGCTTCCACAAAGGAGAAGACACCGATAAAGAGCACCTAGCTTTCGAAACTCTTTATGCAGACGGCTCGCGAACTTTAACCACTGTTGACCTGGAAGTAAACGACACTGAACTTCCTGTCAGGCGGCCCAAAGTAACCACTCCCAGACGCAAGCGGCTAAAGCGCCAGATCTACGGTTCAGACGGGCGCTTTAACATCCGCGGTGACCACTTCCTTCTGGACTACCCGTTCTCCACAGCCGTCCGCATCTCCACCGGCTGCACTGGAGTTCTGGTGTCCCAGCAGCACGTCCTGACCGCAGCCCACTGCGTGCATGATGGGAAGGATTATGTCAAGGGAGCGAGGAAGCTCAGGGTGGGCTTTCTAATCCCTCCGTCTGTTAACGGTACAAGGCCGGGTCAGGCTCCCGTGAAGAAACCCTTGGTGCGCTGGGTGAGAGTTAAACGCACACGGGTTCCTAAAGGCTGGATTCAAGGCCCTCAAGACGTCAGCATGGATTTTGACTACGCACTTCTAGAGTTGCGCTGGCCTCACCGGCGTCCCTTCATGCGGCTGGCTGTGGCACCCTCCTCAGACAGTTTGGCTGGTAAACGCATCCACTTCTCTGGATTTGACAGCGACCGGCCTGGGGAACTGGTGTACCGCTTTTGTCCTGTGGAGGACGAGTCCAATGATTTGATCTACCAGCACTGTGACGCCCGCCCTGGAGCGAGCGGCTCTGGTGTAATATATTTCCACAGTTGCATCCCATCACAGCCACCCATCAAATCCATAGGGAGGCTGAGAAAGCAATCAGAGTCTCTTTGTTTGGATCCATTAGAAACTTTATGAATTTTGCAAACCATCACATATTTCAATGCATAAACCATGCTGAACACTGATAAAACAGCAAAAAAAAAACAAAAAAAAAAACAGCAGAATAGCCACACAAATGTAAACAAGTATCTATAAATCAATATAAAAGATGAATGCGTATTCTAAAATAAAGAGCAAAATTAGATTCGCCTTGGGGCAGAGCAAAAATAAAAAGGCCCTTGCAGAGGATTTACCAAACACGAAGAAACAAACCAGTTGTAACACAGCAGAGTCGTTTAGTGCTTTTTTTAAATTTTTTATTAGAGATAAGGAGACGATACAAAACATCCACTGACCAATATCCATCAAAGCTCTGTACACAGACTGCCCAAATATATCGCTCCATCTAAACAATACGTGTCCATCAGTCCACTCAATCCAATTCATCAACAGACCGCTCACCGACTAGGACCCAGATTTTACAGGTAGAAGGAATGTGTACAATTTCTTGACACCAGTGCCATAGTTTTGAATTACATTTGGAAATATTTAAATCATATGGAATTATGGAATCATAAAAACGACTTGTGAGCTCAAAATAAAAAAACAAATAGGGAAGGGGAGTAAATTGGTGTTCCCAGAATGGTCCGATAACGTTGGAGCAAATTTTGTACTACACCTAGTCTTCAACAACACACACACTTAGAAAAACTTAACTACACGTTTGGCAGCGGCAGAAAAACAAAAAACAAAAAAAAACTTTAATCTTAAGAACTAACAGTATGTTGTACAGCTGATTTGTAACGGCTGCAGTCTCCCTCTTTCCTTTCAACAATCTAATGGAACCCAGAAAGAACGAAAACCTGCCAGTACACATTTACACAGTTATATTACTTTGTTTTTATAATCATCATCCTTGGTTTTTGTCTTTTAAGATCTTTTTTTTTTTCTCTTACGTTTTTGTTCTTGATCATTGTATGTGTGAATTGGAATGACAGCCTACATCTTTCGTCATGTGTGTTTGGAGTTTGGAAACCGTCACTTTCACCCAACCCTCCCCACCCGCATTAACCCACCATGTGGCCCACAAACAGTCGTGCAGGCCCATCTGCCCCACCCATGTCGGAATGAACAGCTAACCCCTGAAATGTGTCAGCCTCAATCGCTCAGAGGCTTGCCCTCGAGAGTCACCACTGACGCTCCCCCGAGCTTCTCAGCAAGGGTCTTTCGGTCCTTGATATCCTCTAAACCGTTCACTTGCCACTCATGCTTGATACCTGTGAAACAAGACACGACAAACGGTTACTCAGATTTCACAATTACATTCACAATTTATTATACAAATTAAATGCATGCATATTTCAATTTTCAAATCAGCTCATATTTATAAGCTTACTTTAGAATCATTTAGCTGGTATTATAGTTCCCATTTTAAATGTATTTTCCATTTAAAATTTTAGTTTAGAAATTGTTGTGCATTTGTTGTTTTTAATAGTTTTTATTTAAAAAGGTGTCTATATTTTTTTCAGTTGTAGATATTTTAAATTAATAAATTTCAGTTAACATTTATTTCAAGTAACATGTTTTAAGGTTTTAGTTTAACCATCGTTTATATAGTTAAGTAGCAGGGGTTTTCAAACCTGTCCTGGAGCCCCCCCTGCCCTGCACATTTTGCATGTCTCCTAGTGCTGGGCGGTATGCCCAAAAATTTATATCACGATATTTTTCAAAATTATACCGGTTTCACAGTACATGACGGTATTTTATTTTTCATGCATGACCGGGTGTTAACCATATTTTCTACTGATTGAGAGAGGAAATACTGCAGTATATTGACTTTAAATGCCCTATTTTACTGTCATGATGAGTGTAATTGTTTAAGCAACTTTATTAATTATATATGGTTTATAAGCATTATTTTAAACATTATGCAAAGATAGTCGTGTTATTTTATTATGCTTTGAAGATATGTGCATTATATTTTGCTCGATGCGCCCTCTTGTGGCCTCAGGAGAGAAGCCAACAGCTTTTTTCCCCCCAACTGAAATAATGCCTTTTATATTAGAATATTGATAATATTTAAGTAAAAAATTCAAATTTAGTTTTTCAGCCATTTTGACAGCCCTAGCGCATACGCAATGCTGACCTCATACGTCATCAGCCCGGAGCTGCTTCCGTGTACAACTGTTGGCGCAAGCTACATTAAAGCGATTATTAAGTTTTGAATATTTTTCTTACCAAAACGCATCGATTTGCTACAGGAGGCCTTTGTTCACCCCCCGGAGCCGTGTGAGACACTTTTTATTATGAATGGATGCGCTTTATTTAACTTCTTTTGGACTGATGCACTGCAACACCCACTGACTGCTATTAAACAGCTTGGAAGATCAAAGACAATTTTTAATATAACTCCGATTGGATTCATCTGAAAGAAAAAAGTCATATACACCTAGGATGACTTGAGGGGGGAGTAATTCATGGGCTAATTTTCATTTTTGGGTGAACTAACCATTTAAGTCAATTTCATATAAAACTTAAATTATACATGCAATATTATTTTTATACATTTTTTAGCATTACCTGTGAACTTCTTCTTGATGGCATCCTTGGAGCTGGCATAGATCATCTTGCTTTTGAGTGGGGCATTTTCTGGGGCCCTGTGCAATACAACAGGAGATCAGATCATCCGTTTCATGCGAGCATTTGACAAGTCTATATCAGGAGCCCCAGAACTGTTCCTGGAGATCTACCTTCCAGCAAAGTTCAGCTCCAACCCTGTCCAATCCAACAGGTGTATCAGAACAGGGTTGGAACTAACAGGGTTCCCACTCTTTCATGAACACCAGATTCAAGGACTTTTTAAAGCGCCATTTATTTTATATCAAGCACGCACCGCTCAAATTCAACAGCATATGTAGCGTCATGAAAGACATCTTACAGTACTTAACATTTCACTTACACTTAACATTTACATTAAAAATTTCAGAGTAATGAGGTTTTGAATGTGTAGGTTTCATAAATTTAGACCATTTTGGTCTAAATCGTGTTCAAATGAATTTTGAATCTCAAATATTGATAAAAAAATATATATTCTTGCATCAAACTGTTTTTTGCTGTAATTCTTGTAAAAGATTTAAATTTGAAAATCTAAATTTTTAAATGAATAAAAAGTGGTTAAACAGGGCTCTACGCTTACTTTTCTTTTTGGGAGCACTTGTGAAAATGTATGAGCACAGTCAAATTTCAGGAGCACCTTCTAATCAAATTCTGATCAAATATTAGCCTTCCCATTACGAGATGATGTTTGACTCCTGAAAGTGACTTACAGGGAATTTTGTTTATACCTTTGTTACGGCATTTTTCTAACTTTATTAAAAGTATGTCATCTTTTGTCAAATTAAAAAAATTCTATTATAATTAATTAATTTCTAATTAAAACAACAGAATAATAAGTAGAATAAGAATAAGTTACCAATCAAATGAAATCAGTATTAAAAAAATAATTTGTACTACAGAGGTGGCACAGAAGAACACAAAAGTGGCTTGTAGGTGTATTTTCAGATGGTTTAATGAGGCTCAGCGGTCGCATGAGTGCAATTAAATTCATAACTTCATGTTGAGGTTAATGTTTTAAATATAGAAATATTAAATGATTTAAATAAGATACTTTAAAATGAAAGAAACTGCCAGAAGGTGGCGGCAAGTCACTGATTTTATCACTGAATCATTCATTCAATTGATTTGTTCGAATAGCTGATTCATTCAAACAAGTGACTGTCTTTATGAATTGGTAATTGAATCAGATTCGTCTGAAAACACCCATTCATACATAAACGAAACAACACTGTTTGATGTGCAGCGGCTCAGCTGTTACTTTGTTTGAAACTATTTTTGTTGACTAAAAGCAAAATCAGGCAATAGTGTTCAGACAATGCAAGTCACTTAATATTAACTTCTTGTGTAATGAACTGTTGTATTAAAATCAATATAATTTGCAAACTCCTTTATTCATTAAAAGCTGTCACTCTCCTTCGTTCATCACGATCTCACAAAGTTCCATTATAATCAACGCAGCTCTCTACACTGCACAGTAAATCTCTTATTTAAACCCTGTCTACAGTTTGTTTGTTATAATGAGAGGATTCGTGAGCTTGCAGAACTCAGCACTGAACAAAACGGCGTTTTCAGCTGTGAGTGGATTCTGATTAACATGTTCAAGGAATCAATATATGTCTGATACATTACTCACCGCTGCAAAAACACGTTGTAAGTACGTTAGAAACCATTGAAGTTCCCCTCAGCGCAAACACAAATATGCTGATTCGGTCATTTGCACTGGTGCTCCTAAATATTTTTTAATAGTCGCACGCAGTAGTTTTCAGTCGCAAATGCACTGCTTCTCCATAGGTTCATGCAGGGCTGTGCAATGTGCGCATCAGCTCGCATGCTAAGATTTTTTTTTCGCACTACCCCATCTCCACCCCAATCATTAGCACGGTTTCGTTTTGCCTTTGACAGCGCATATAGGAAATTTTTTGAAATAGCACCATTCTACTAAACAATTTATTTCAAGCACTTTCAAGGACCTATATTTGTTTTCAAGTACTTTCCAGGCTTTGAATTTATGTGTCTGATATACAAGTACCTTCAAGAAGCGTGGGAACCCTGAACTAAAGTCTGCAGGAAGTAACATCTCCAGGAACAGGACTGGGAGCTACATGAAGCACACATGAAGAAGCTCTTGGGACTTACCAGAAAATGAAAACCAGGTCCTCTTTCTTAGTCTCTTTAGTCTCATACGTGGCATCATAGAGAGCATAGCGACAATCGTTAGGAGGAAGAATCTTGACAAACTTAAGGTAGGGATCTCCTTCATCTCCCTGCAGGATCTCATTGCCCTCCTCCATGACGATACGCTTCTTGTCCTCACTCAGGCAGAAGAGAACAGCCTTCTTCCTCTTGCTCTTTTCTTCCTCGTTGGCAGAAGCCTTGCGGACCTTCATTTCGTTGAAGATCGTCAACACGTTCTCATCCACTGTAACTCCGGAGGCCTGCAAGCACACAAACACACAGGATAAGGTCGCATGGAGGGCCCGTCTGAATAGAGGGAAGTGAGTGAGCTGATGAGCAAGGATGCGTGAATGTGTGGGTGAAAAGTCAGAATGAGAGAGTGAACGGGATTTTAAAAACAAACGGCTTTGTCTTTTCTAGTTAAACTGGCTGCCGTTTTGACAAAACAGGATAGTTTTATATGAACCTCGTCCAGCGGATTCTAAACTACTAGGCCGGCAGGTTGTGTCACGCAAGAGGGAAGTGAGTGAGCTGATGAGCAAGGATGCGTGAATGTGTGGGTGAAAAGGCAGAATGAGAGAGTGAACGGGATTTTAAAAACAAACGGCTTTGTCTTTTCTAGTTAAACTGGCTGCCGTTTTGACAAAACAGGATAGTTCTATATGAACCTCGTCTAGCGGATTCTAAACTACTAGGCCGGCAGGTTGTCACGCAAGACAGCATTAAGTGACAAAACAAAAAAACCCTGACATAGGAGAAACAGGACCACACACTTCAAGGGCAGTGGAATGAGAGCAAATAAAAACTTAAATATCACACTGGGTGAGAATAAAACAATGCATGGATTTGGTTTCTATTCCCAAAAAAACAAAAACTAAAACTAAATAGTAAGTCAAAGAAAAAAAGGCTGATTTGAACAAGGCACCATTCTTTCCCGGTCATGTGACACCTCAGATATGCTCGAACACATTTGAACAGAGGGAAGGTTGGCCACTTCCTCATAAGAGCTGATGAGATTTGTGCTGATAGTCTGATTTAAAGCAGGAGCATCAAATATGTATAAAAATTACTCAATGGATGTAGATGCTATAAAAAAAAAATTCATGTCATACAAAGCTCGTGTACAGCATTAGATCACAAAACAATGATTCTTCTGTGATGGATCAAAATGGCCTCAGTCACACCAATCCCATAAACCTACTCAGGTCCTCTGATTTCCATTAGAAACATGGCTCAGTGACTCATGCTGCATTGCCATAGCCAGACATTCAACATTTCAGTTCCTAAGATTATACGGTGAGCAATGAGAAAACCCTTTAAAAAGGCTAGGAACCTGAACTTCTAGCGCCTATCCAGCTTCTGAATAGCATATGAGGACGTGTGAAAAGGTGGACACAAGGAGCCTTGCGGGGTAGATGCTTAAATGGCCCACTTACAGGAAATGTACATCTAATGGGTGGAACCGGTTTGCTTAAGGTGTGAATGAAAAGGAACGTGTTAAGACGCCTCATTACATAACATGCTCACAAATAATGAAAAAAAAAAATGGGACACTAAAGGCCAAAAGGAGAATTAGGATTCCCACACCTTTTGAGCAATGAACTATCACGACTTTTCAGGTAATACATAAACGTTTCTTTAAAATCCAATTTTTTTTTAAATTACAGCCGCTTGTTTTGGATGAGTAAATGCAAATTCTAGATCTTCAGCAAGAAAACAAGCAATTCCCTCCCTATCTGTCATCTAGTGTCATAAAATATTAAAGTGCAAAATAAAGTCCAAAGTTTAAGTACAAGGGCACTAATGCTGCTGGTAAATCATCCAGGTTCACTGAGAAGTGAAACCCACGGTGAGAAATGAGCCAGCGTTGTGATACAGGAAATGTGACGTCGTGGGTGCTCAAATGAAAAGAGCTTATAAGTTAAAGAAAAAAACTATTGTATAAGGCGTTTGGTCACGTGCCTCACAAAAACAGATTTTGACGTCGCTTGTGGCCTATGACGTCGCATATTGTCCTCGCGACCGAGACTGGTCGCACCGGAACCGGCATTTCCTTCAACTTACATGCGGCCTGAATACCATTTCCCCTCAATAATTTCACAAGTATTTTTTTATGTCTACAGAAACCAGACGACGAAAGCACCAGCGAAAGATCAAATACTAAATAGGAAGCAAAGCACCTTCTTCTAAATATCCACAAATGCTGCACGTCATAGGCAAGAGAAACGTCATGTGCTTATTACAAAGACAAAATGCCGATACAATGACAGCAATTACGAAAATAAAGACGTCGAGCAAAGATAAAACGTCCAACCAGGAAGAGTGTAGCCGTGCACACGCTGCCTGATAATACGCAAATGCACAAGTAACGGATTTTAAACTCGGTTTCCTTCCGCTCAGCTCAAATATTATTGTATTTATTTCGCTTGAAATCCAATTGCAATCGACCAAATACACGTTCCCTGTCGAGCTGTCTTTTTTTGGTCAAATAAATAAACCAACACCATCTGGTGCATCAAGAATTAGGGTGGGGCCACGATTGCAGTGTTCGGGCATGTGTTCCAAATATCCGCAAAATTACCGCGTTCTAAAGACGAAAAGCGTACTTTATACACGCGAGGATTCGGTCTTAAAAGGGAATAATCTACGGTTTTACACACACCCGCAGCCCCTCTGGTGCGGCAAATGCGAGCGATGGTGTATTTTGACGGATGGCCGTGCTCAGACAAAGAAAGGACAGAATCGTAAAAGCGCTTCATCTGGCCGGCGAAAAACGCAGTTAAACACACACGCAACGGTCATCGGTTTATTCACAGCCTTTCCTAATTTACCCGAGCGATGCGATCGTATGTGGAGCGACGGGGCCTGTAGGTAGCGTGCGATGATAAGCAGCGAGGCCGCTCCTGGGCCTGGACTCACGGAAATAAAGGAGGCTGAGCGGGGAAATGGCGCCAGTTGTTTTTGGGTCTCGTTTTTGCCAATCTCATCGCGTCCGAGCAGCGGAAGGCCTCCCACCATCGAGAACCGCGAGGATAATCGAGTTTGTTAATAAATACGGTTAAACGACGCTGCCAAGAGAACCAAGGAAAACCGGTTTGCAGCTATTAGTCGGCGTAGGGGTTAATTGACAGAGTTGATTCACATTAAAAAAAACAACAAAGCCCACAACCTAGCCATTAAACTCTTCAAACACGCTGAAACTAGCCGTAAATTGTATTAGCATTGTTTAAATGTAGACGTACCATGGTTGTGTCTCTTTGCTAGTCGGCGTCTGGATGGGAATTGAATGAGCTGTGATGCAGTCCTTCGCTCTCGCGCACTTGATACAACACTCGGGCGCGCCCTTTTGCGCGTGGCCGTGCAGCGATGGGAACGCGCGTCCATGTCACGCGCTTGTTGGGGTGTTGTGGGAGCTGGAGTTCTGAGCTCTATACAAACGGACTTGGGCATAATAAAATGTGACCCTGGACCACAAAATCAGCACGGGTATATTTGTAGCAACAGCCAAAAATACATTGTATGGGTTAAAATGAGCGATTTTTCTTTTATGCCAAAATTAAATGAAGATCATGTTCCATGAAGATATTTCGTAAATTTCCTACCGTAAATATATCAAAACCGTAAATATATCCAAAATTTTTGATCAGTATTATGCATTGCTAAGAACTTCGTTTGGACAATTTTAAAGGCGATTTTTTTTCCCCCAGATTTTTTTGCACCATCAGATTCCAGATTTTCAAATAGTTGTATCGCAACTAAATATTGTCCTATCCTAACAAACAAACATACATCAAAGGAAAGCTTATTTATTCAGCTTTCAAATGATGTAAAAATCTCAATTTCGAAAATTTGACCCTTATGACTGGTTTTGTGGTCCTGGGTCACAAATATATTCACTGTTGTTAGTAGAACACTGGCACAAACTTATGGTCGTTGAAAATCGTTTATACGAGGTTATGTGCATTTAAAGTATTTATTTAAAAACCATTATTAAGCATGTTATTAAAAATATATAACTATGAAATACTATATATATATATATATATATATATTATTGTTCATTAAGTGTATTATTATGCATTATTAATATATTATATACGAAATTTTTATTAAATATATTTAAATACAACAACCAACATTTTACATACTGAACATTTAGACCTTTAGAGTTTTCTGCCCCATACATGGTAAAGTGACATGAAAGGTGCTGTTATACTACTAAATTCTGCACCGAACACACCACACCAATTGCAATATTCGTTAGTGGCTCGCTGCTGTATAGCATTGTTGGTCTCTGCCCCTTTTTAAGGTTCGCTTAACTCGCTTCCAAATAAGGAAGCAAATGGTGACAGTCGTGAGCGCGCTTCAGCCGAAGCCGCGCACATCAGGCGGCTCGCGACTCCGATCGCCATATAAGGAAACAAGGACGTTCATTTCTATAGGAAAAATTCACACAGCACACGCTAGAGGGAGCGGTGTACAGCAGCAAAGAATGAAACTGCAAAGGAGGAAGAATGCGTCCCGCTTACCAAAGAGCACAGAACATGCTTTATTATCTACAGTTTGCAGTGAACAAATGATGTATGAATCAAAGGTTCCATTTGTAGATTGATGCAAATGAACGGATGTTCAAACGTGGCCACGATGCTCACTGAACCGTTCTCTCCGTTTAAATCAATGCTGACACCTAGTGTACAAACGTTGACTCTTCTTCACATTTCTGCCTTCAACTGTATACAAACAAGACCCATCAGTGTATGGCATGCGTATAGTTTTATTTCTGGGATATATAAAGTGTATGTAACAATGAAAGTGATATACAGGGACAGAGAATGATCCCTGGTAGGTAAGTTTAGGCAGGTCCACGCAGTTGAAAAAGTGAAGGTAACACATTCAAAGCCTCCAACTGAGGCTCTAGTGGAATGCAACAAAGAAGAACGCCACAAATACACTTTACAGACATTCCTTGAGGGACAAATGCATATTTTCTGTCTTTAAAAACCTGGAAAAATGCTTTCAGGTACTCTGGATTCTCCAGGTATACTATTTCACCACCACATCATACAAGGAATGTTACGTAACAAAAATTAAAATGGAAAGTCATAAGAGCAACAGTGCTCAAATCACTCCAATAACAGAATCAAATCAGGCGTTTACTAATGATAGGCAAATATGAACCTGATTACAGAATAGTGCATAATGACCGAACTTTCCCCAAGACAGTTGAATAGTTAATATTAGCTTTTCTATCAATACTTTAAGTCCAACATGATGACAGTATCAGGACGGTTTTGAACACCCAACAACATGCCAGCAGTTAAGAGGAAGTGAACAGAACCAATCCAGCACTCAAGAACATTGGAATGGAATAAGATGTTTGTTACCCTGATTATGAAACCCAATACAAGTGAAACAGCTTATTGACAGAAACTCCCATATAAATCATACATGGATGTGTACAAGATGGAAAGATGGAATGCATAGAAGGCCACAATTTGGTACAAAGAACACCGAACAAAGCTCTTGCAAAGTTCACATAATATAGTTACACTTGCAATACTAAACATCTTATCAAGCTCAAGCCTTAATGAAGTAATGGCAGTTCATGTGCAAAAGGTATTCCTGGCTAAAGAGAACAAACAGATAACATGTCTACAGTCTGCAATACAAGTGCAATCTAAACATTATACAACCCTGACCTGCTATGGAGGATGTCTTTGGCTGAACTGGAATGAACAACTGTAAACATATCAATGCAGTTCTGTGGAGAGTTTAGCCCTTGCGCTAAATCTATACCTGTCCCTGAAAAACCAGCTGCTGGTTTGTGATATTTGGTCTTGTGTTCATATTTGTGTTGATATTTAAAAATCTTCTTTAAGATATTCTGACAAAATGAGTCAGCCTGCATTAGAAGTAGAAATTTAAGTGCTATATTTGGAGATATGCATCATTTGGTAACATTATTGGTCACGTCTGTGCAGTTTACATCTCGTTCTGGCATTTTCGGTATGAATGAGAAGCTATCTTGTCTTTTTCTGTTGTGCAGCCACCTGACCCTGGCTTCTTGTCTTGTTTAACACATCTGTGGCCTGAAAAACAACATAAGTACATTTTTAATCTTTATTTAAAAAATATATATTCATATGTATAATTATTAAAGGAATATATGTACCTGCTCTAGTATTACTCCAGCAGCCTGGTCTATGGCTGAGCCTACTTCTCTGTACTGGCCAGAGTACCGGATAAAGGCCCAGGTCAGCATAGCAATCATGGCCAGGCCAACTACACAGTCACATGCAAAGGAAATAGTTTCCAGGCCAATGAAGAACAAAATTCCTGACAGAACATACAGTAGGCAGACCAGGACAAACAGCACTGCAGGTGTCCGGAAAGCACTAAAAACATTCTTGGACTGAAAAGACAGCAAGTGTACATAAAATTAATAAAATCCTCTAAGTTTTGAAATATTTTTCACACATTAATTTTTTCGATGCTTTTTCACTTGTTACCTCGTTGTGCTTGCTAAAGGACTCCCACAGCTCTTTCAGCTCTCCTTCCAACTGTTCCTGGTAACGGTAACAGAAATCCCGCCCACCCATCTTCTTAGTGCTGGAGAAGAGATGAAGGGCCTCCTGCAGGAAGAAATGGTGCTTCTCCTCCAGTGAGTCAGGAGCCACATAAGGCAGATCTCCACCACACACCTAACAGTGAGGGGGGATGTGTGAAAAATAAATAAAAGAACATTATATAAAAGGTTAAATGGATATTAGGTTTGGTAATCACATGCCAATGCAAATGTAAAAATGCGCATTAGTTGGGCGACATGCTCCATAGTCATATCATTCTATCGTCAGCCTGTGAGATCGCCGATACACAATACTATCAGTCTAATTTTTTTTATTATTTACTTACTTCGTTTCATAGCCAGAGAGTGAACCAACTCCAGGGTAAGGCTAAAAGCAGCCTAATGTTAGTGTAATCTATTAACTAAATATATCAAATATTTTTTATTATGACTGAAATTGTATTTAACATGATAACAATTTAATAGAAACATTGCAAGTTACTAATTATAATGCTTACATTTCCTCAGTTATTCAAATAGCAGCTACAGAAACCAACCAAAGAACATTTACATTATCAAAGAACATCATCACTGACTTAAGTCTAGCACAAGTTTATGCACTTTAAAAGCCATGAAGCTATCTTACACTTACATCGCACATACATCTGCACTTTGTTTATGATGAGAGAATTCAGTTAGCAAGCGCATGCACTGAACAACAAAACTCCAGTGCGATTGACTCATCTGAACGCCTCTGATTGGCCATTGCATTCATAAGCTCAACAGAATAGTGTGTGATTGGTTATAACGTTAAAATGTGGAAAAAGAAATACGATGGAACAAATAAGCCCTAATATTAACTAGATAGTATTACTAGCCTGATAATAATAACAATAATAATAATCGTCTTGTTATCATCAAAGGCATCAGTCACAGGTGATATCTGACTATAGTCGATACACACTACTATCATCTATCGGCACAACCCTAGTATTAGTATTAGTTTCATTCAGCAATAATATGTATGAAAGGAACTGAACTTATTGTACATACAGTATAATGAGTGTGTAACACATTGTACATATAATAATGAGTGTGTAACAGCCTGACCGTCTCCATATTCTTGTAGTACTGGTCTTTTGCTGACGCCACAGCTGCAAGGTTATTGGCCTCTGCTGTAGCCTGAATGAGTCAAAACATTAATTCAACAACATGACATCTTGTGACAGGTCACAAATGAATACCAAATATCAGTAAAACTGCATTGTTACCTCTAGCATGGATTTAGGGTGTGGAAGGTCTTCTCCCTGATATATCTTGATATATGCCTGACAGTGAAAAACAAAACTCATTTTAAATGCTGCTCAACAAAATAGAGATCAAGATGATCATAAGCCAGGTGTGAGCTCACCTTGAAGTACTCCAGCAGGCCCCTGCAGGTCACCTTATTCCCATTGATCTCTTTCACAGCCAGCTCGTCAGTCTTCAGCAGGTTGGGAATGAGTTCATGCAACTGCTCCTTGAACTCTGGAGCCACGTCTGAGAGTGGCAGGAGTGATTGTTAGAGAGAGAGATAGGACACAAATAACATAAGAATGTTAGTATAAAATGAGAGATGTAAAAAAGAAAATTAAACCCACAATGAGGGACACAAAGAGGGATGCAGATATCAGATGTAAGTGGAGTGTTGACAAATATGATTTGCTCTATTATTTGGGGTCAGCAAGATATTTTTCTAAATAACTGATCAAATTGATCAACAGTGACAGTACAAGTTATTAAAACATTACAAAAAAAATCTATTTTAATAAATTCTGATCTTTTGAACTTTATATTCATGAAATAATCCTGAAAAAATGTACATGGTTTGGTTTCCATAAAAATAATAAGCAGCACAACTGTTTTCAACGGTGATAAAAAAATTTCTTGAGCACCAAATGTGTGTATTACAATGATTTCAGAAGGAAATCACAGGATTAAATTACATTTCAAAATATATGAAATAGAAAACATTTATTTTAAACTGTAATAATTGTATTTTGAGTCTTAGTGAGCATACAGTGAGAGATTTCAGTAACAGTTTACAATAAGGTTCCATTTGTTAACATGAATTAACAATGAAAAATACTTGTAAAGCATTTATTAATCTCAGTTCATAGTAATTGCAACATTTACCAATACACTATTAAAATCCAAAGTTTTATCTGTTAATATTAATTAATGGACCTAAGCTAAAATGAACCAACAATGAAAAGTTGTACTTTTATTAATGTTAACAAAGATGAATAAATATACTGTAACAGATGCATTGCTCATTGTTAGTTAATATTAGTAAATGTATTAATTTATGTTAACTAATAAACCTTATTGCAAAGTGCAACCAAGTGCAAAGTGCAACCAATGTTTTCTTCCAAAACATTAAAGGCACAATATGTAAGATTTTTTTATTAAAATATCCAAAAACCACTAGAACAGTGTTATATATTTTGCTGACTTGTGTACTTACATTATCCCAAATGTTTCGAAAAATTTTTAAATCCAGAGAAATAAGCAATTTTAACTAGTGACACGGACC